GCTTTTCACTCACCTCATAGTTCTAGCCGACCTGTGACAATGAGACTGTCACAGGTCGGCTCAGTAGAACGGGAGGTGAGGGAACACATACTGGCGCTCGCTCACCTCTCGATCCTGTCACGGCTCTCTGCCGTGACAGGGGGAGGGCTGGATTCCCCCCTCCCCGCTCCGACCCTCCAGCGCTGACTGGCGGAACGGGCGGGGGCGGGTACAGCTGGCTCTGCCTCTAGACAAGCAGAGCCAGCTGTCACTCACGCAGCTGGGCGGAACCAGACATAATTGTCGGGATCCGCTTCAGCTGCGATGTCTCGGTATATGCTGAGCTTAGGGTGACGGGAGGACGCTAGTTTGTGTCCTCCCGTTACCCTCGAGGAGAACTATGGGGAAAAGCACTGACCTCATAGTTCTCCTTTAATTTACTTTCCCTTAGGTTTTCATTGTCATAGCTGTGCTGTCACCAGTCTAGAAAACGTTTAGTCTGGAATTACCCTATATGTCGCATTATTGCACTTAAATAAAATAACGGACCCACACTTTTTTTTTTTTTTAAAGATTTATGTTTTTATTGAAGAAAAATATACAAAAACTAAAGGAGAACTATGGGGTCAGGGCTTTTCCCCCCATAGTTCTCCTTAGGGTAACGGGAGGATGCAAACTAGCGTCCTCCCGTCACCCTAGGCTCAGTATATAGGGAGCTGTAGCTCGCGGTATACAGAGACGCCGCAGCCGGAGCGGAGCCCGACAATTGTGCCTGGATCCGCCCAGCTGCGTGACTGACAGCTGGCTCTGCCTATCTAGAGGCAGAGCCAGCTGTACCCGCCCTGTCCGTTCCGCCAGTCAGCGCTGGAGGATCGGAGCGGGGAGGGGGGAATCCAGCCCCTCCCCTGTCATGGCAGAGAGCCGTGACAGGATCGAGAGGTGAGCGAACGCCGGTATGTGTTCCCTCACCTCCCGATCTACTGAGCCGACCTGTGACAGTCTCATTGTCACAGGTCGGCTAGAACTATGAGGGGAGTGGAAAACAGTCATCTCATAGTTCTCCTTTAACAAGAATAGTCAAGTCAGGAAAAGCAAAGTCTCCAGATGCATGTGACATTGAGGTATAACATGTGGATACATCATTGGAAGACCGTGCCCATGGCCCATACAGCATGAAATATCTCACAGGGGGCATCAGCTAGCCGTCTCATGAACGTATATAGGGTCAAGCTAAAACATAAGAAAACCTTGGCTCTAAAGCACGCTTCATATGACCTGAACCTTTTAATGCACTGCACTGCAACACACAGAAGGTTCACATGTGAGCATTGTGATGTTCTGCTGAAATGCATTAGGATGCAGCTGGTGAGGAGGACATCTGAGAATGAATGGCGCAGCAGATGGTGCGTTACCGTGCTTTACAGCAAAACACATGTTTTATTGCATGCTATCACAACACACAGGTCTCAATCTGGCCAATGTACCAATTCACACCTACGCACAAAATTCAGCGTTGACCCTGAACAAGCCTCAGCGCATGAAAAAACTGCATGCACGGAGCCGTCACATCTTTGTGTTTTGGTGCACTGTAGCGCATTTACGTTTGTTTTTACTGCATATGCGCGATGCACTGCAATGCAAATGTGCCTTGAAGTAAGGCATGTTGAAGCACAGGTTTTAAGCAGTGGCCTATTGGTTGGTACTCTCGCCTTGCAGCACTGGGGTCCTTGGTTCAAATCCCAACCAGGGCAATATCTGCATGTGGTTTGCATGTTCTCTCTATAGTTGCCTGGGTTTTTATCCCAGACTCCAAAAACCTGCTGGTAGGTTAATTGGCTAACATTGGTCCCTAGTATGTCTGTGTATGCATGTGAGATGGGGACATGGATTGTAAGCTCCTTGAGGGCAAGGACTGATGTGAATGTGCACATGTCTTGACTATTGCAACTCCCTTCTCATTGGCTGACCACTACACAGGCTCCTCCCCCCCTTCAGTCTATCATGAATTCAGCTACTAGACTAATTCACCTAACCAACCGCTCAGTATCTGCAACCTCCCTCTGCCAATCCCTGCACTGGCTTCCATTCCCCACCCCCCTCTGCCAATCCCTGCACTGGCTTCCACCCCCCGCCCCTCTCTGCCAATCCCTGCACTGGCTTCCATCCTCCGCCCCCCTATGCCAATCCCTGCACTGGCTTCCAATTGTCCAAAGGATAAAGTTAAAAATATTAACAATCACTTACAAAGCCGTCCACAACTCTGCCCCCGGCTATATCTCCAACCTTGTCTCAAAGTATCACCCTAACCGTCCCCTCCGCTCTTCAAATGACCTCCTGCTTTCCAGCTCCCTCGTCATCTCCTCCCATGCTCGCCTCCAGGACTTCACTAGAGCCTCTCCCATCCTCTGGAACTCTCTACCCCAACCGGTCCGTCTATCTCCCACTCTGACTGCCTTTAGGCGATCCCTAAAGACTCATCTCTTCAGGGAAGCCGATCCCACCTCAACCTGACCGCTCAACCATCACCTTCTCATACAATTCATCCCCCCACGCAGCTCCCTCCTCATGTATCACCGGCCCCTCCCTTTTAGATTGTAATCCCTCAGGGGCAGGGCCCTCCTTACCATCTTGTCTTGTATTGTGATTGTAATGTCTTCCTTGTATTGTACAGCGTTGCGCAAACTGTTGGCGCTCTATAAATCCTGTATAATAATAATAGTTCAATGCTGGGTAAATTGCCAGTGCTATATGAATACCTGTAATGCACGCTGCCATGCATGCATAGATGTGAACGCGGCGCAATCTTTTGCGGGAGAGAAGGAAAAGCCTTGTGTGTATAATAAATATTGTTTAAAACCTGAAATAAAAAATGACAAAGAAGCTGCAGCCAAGAACACCGGAATCCGAGGAGGATCGGTCTCCCATAATAACCAGCGACAGCTTTTCTATGCATCGGCTATCTTGTGTACAACAATGTGTCTGTTATATGTTTGTTTTACTTTTTTTTTTACAAATCCGAGTCTGTTTATCTGATGCGGAGTTCAGCCGGGGAAGTTGGTGTCCCGCATCTCGCTGCGGCTCGCACAGCAGCAGAAAAGCTTTTCCCGTAAAGTTCTCATGTGTGAAGAGGAGCAGAGCCCCCCGGGGGGGGGGGGGGGAGAAGAAACGCGG